AGCTGCTGGTGGGGGGGGCACAGCGGACTGTCAGGGGTGTGGCGGGGGCAGAGGAGTTTGCCGGTGCGGTCGGGAAGAGACACGTGACCGGTTGCTCCGGGTAACGGCGGTGTGGAGAGTCCGGCGGGATGACATGTGACCGGCTAGGGGTTCTCATACACACGTAGCGGGGCCTGGTGGGGAGGACAACCGGGAACACGTGCTGCCGGCCGGAGGTGACACGTGCGGCCGGGTAATCGGAGGCCCCGGAGCTCCCTCCTCTCACCTCATTCAGCTGTCTCTCCGCGGCCTCCCTCAGGGCCGGGTCCATGGTGCCCCGTAGGGCCTCGATTAGAATATTGGGGTCCATCGTGCCGCTTCCCGCTCTCCGACCTCCGCCGCCTCACACACAGGAAGACCAGAGCGCCCAGGCCGCCGCTTGTAACCCCGCCCCGACCTGACACACGTCACGATTAGCCCCGCCCCGATCCAACAGGCACCCCACTGACCCCGCCCTGCGACCCTTCGGAGACGTCACCACCGATGCCACCCACATCCGACAGAAGTCATCGAAACTCCGCCCCGTCTTTAACGTCAACGCTAACTCCGCCCAAAGCAAAGAGTCAACCCTGCTAGCCACGCCCACCGCAGTATGTCTTAGAGCGCTCAGACTGCCTGCCACTCAACCCGAGCTCCACCCAACGCATAGCCAGCCGTCATCAGACTCCGCCTCCTGCAATCCGGAGGTGGAGCCAGTGCAGAAATGGATGATGGCAGGGACGCCGGGAGATGTAGTCCACAGGGTGCTCTGCCCTCGTGTCACCTGCTTCGCTCATCACTTCCTGTCCGGCCATCCCGTGTGTACAGTTCGCAATGCTCTGCAACCGGGGAGTGCCAACATATACCACCGCGCTGTACATTCCAACTGGATGTTTTTTTATTGTGTGTATCATGCAGAGATTATGTGTTTATTTCAATAAAATCCTTGTTTTCAACTTTATTGCCTCTTTGTAAGAGCTCAGTGCTGCCCCTAGTCTGCACACATCAATCTGCCTGACAGGTTCTCTTTGAAGGACCAGGAGGAAGCCATTATCCCTCATGCTGATGGATGATGTGTGGAGGCGTCGGGTGAATTCAGATCTTTCACATCATTATAATTATGTTGTTTCCTCAGTGCGGCTCATTCACACCGGGGAGATCCTCATATCCTGCCGGTGTTCCATCAAAAGTTCCAACTTATCGAGTTCTCCGACCGCCTGACTTAGAACACCGGCTGTCAGATAGAAACAGAACTTATAATACCCGACGCAATGACAATGTAATTATTGTTTTATTGTATTTAACCAATTCTGGACTAACAGAGATGAAGGTTATCAATACTTTATAAATATTGCCAGAAGTATTGGGACGCCTTTACACGCACATGAACTTTAATGGCATCCCAGTCTTAGTCCGTAGGGTTCAGTATTGGGTTGGCTCCGCCCTTTCCCGCTATAACAGCTCCGCCTCTTCTGGGAAGGCGTGCACAAGGTTTAGGAGGGTGGTTATGAGAATGTCGGACCATTTGTGAGGTCAGGTACTGATGTTGGGGGAGGGGCTCGCAGTCTCCGCCTCTAATTCATCCCAAAGGTGTTCTATGGGGTTGAGGTCAGGACTCTGTGCGGCCAGTCACGTTCCTCCACTCCCCCATCCGTGTCTTTATGGACCTTGCTTTGTGCAATGGTGCGCAGTCATGTTGGAACAGGATGGGGCCGTCCCCAAACTCCTCCCACAAAGTTGGCAGCGTAAAATTGTCCAAAATGTCTTGGTGTGCTGATGCCTTAAGAGTTCCCTTCACTAGAACTAAGGGGCGGAGCCCAACCCCTGAAAAACAACCCCCCCATAATACCCCCTCCCCCCACCAAACTTTACACTTGGCACAATACAGTCAGGCAAGTACCGTTCTCCCGGCAACCGCCAAACCCAGACACGCCCATCGGATTGCCAGACAGAGAAGCGTGATTGGTCACTCCAGAGAACACGCCTCCACTTCTCTTTGTACAATATAAAAGATGAGGTTATGGCGATTACATAGACAACCAACATACCAAGCTTGAAAGGGCGACAAAACACGCTACCCCAAACTGTCCAGAGGCGGCGCTATAAAACTCCGTACAGGTCATCAGTTTAGAGTTATCTGTGAATATTGGCCCTCAAATGATTGCTCTCACTCTGGTGCACGTGGTGATACCTAACATGTGTAGCGCAATCAACGTTTTTGTATGTAGGCGCACCCCCACGTGTGTTTACGTTACTATGCACGCATTCACAGGGGCTGGGGACTTAAAATGTTTTGTATTTTTACATTTTCTTTTTTACTTCACTTCATTGCTATCACATAGGGGGGCTTACAAGCCCCCTCTGCGATAGCATATTAGGTAGTGACAGATACTCTTTAAAGGAGAACTATGGGGGGGGTGATTTCCACTCACCTCATAGTTCTAGCCGACCTGTGACAATGAGACTGTCACAGGTCGGCTCAGTAGATCGGGAGGTGAGCGAACACATACCGGCGTTCGCTCACTTCTCGATCCTGTCACGGCTCTCTGCTGTGACAGGGGAGGGGCTGGATTCCCCTCTCCCCGCTCCGATCCTCCAGCGCTGACTGGCGGAACGGACGGGGGAGGGTACAGCTGGCTCTGCCTCTAGATAGGCAGAGCCAGCTGTCACTCACGCAGCTGGGCGGATCCTGTCATCTACGTCGGGATCCGCTCCGGCTGCGGCGGTCTCAGTATACCGCGAGCTGTAGCTCCCTATACACCGAGCTTAGGGTGACGGGAGGATGCTAGTATATGTCCTCCCGTGACCCTTAAAGGAGAACTACGGGGTAAGTGCTTTTCCCCATAGTTCTCCTCAGGGTCACGGGAGGACATAAACTAGTGTCCTCCCGTCACCCTAAGCTCGGTATATAAGGAGCTACAGCAGGGAGATGATCGAGAAGTGAGCGAGCGATGGTATGTGTTTGTTCACTTCCTGATCTATTGAGCCGACGTGTGACAGTCTCATTTAAAATCACTCACCTCATAGTTCTCCTTTAAGAGAACTATGGAGAAAAACACTTACCCCATAGTTCTCTTTTAAGGAGACATTAGGGGTCTATTAGCCCCCGAGTGTCACCTTGCCAGTGTAAAGAAGCAGATTGCGCTTGAATAGCTTCTTTCCTTTTTTTTGTTGCTGGGGAATGACAGCTGAGGAACTGGAAGCGATGCAATCGGCGTCCCTTCCCGGCCCCATTCAGGAGATCGATGAACAGATGTTCACCCGTCTCTCTCCCCACTACCCGCCGACACCCACGATGCTGGTCCCGGGCCCACGGGAGGGTCAGTGGAGCCTGGGAAGCAAGGCAGGGCGGTGTTGGGCGAGCAAGCTTCACCGACCCCTGGAAGCAATCCGGCGGCAGTTCAGCCGCCAGAATCGCTTCCAGGGTAAAGCCGACCATTGTCTTTACACAGCTGGACAGAGTTTCGGCCCCCGGGGGGGCCTGTTTAAAGGGGCCGCTGCCATACGTTACCGGCAGCGAAAGGGTTAAAGGCGTTCTTGTGTAATACAACTGAGGCGTCTGCGCAAAAGAGGGAACAAAAGTAAACCCCGGAATGAGGGAACAAAAGTAAACCCCGGAATGAGGGAACAAAAGTAAACACCGGAATGAGGGAACAAAAGTAAACACCGGAATGAGGTTCCGCATGAGGAATGAAGCTCCCGGATCGGGACAAACACTCCCATTTGGCTCTTTTTTTCCTTGGCTCCATTTTTGTACCCCGCTCCTGCTACGTGTTGCACCCGCCGGCCCTTTTCGGCTCAGATCGGAGATTGTGGAGCGTCGGAAGCAGAGACAGATAGTGGCGTGCCGGGAGACAAATCACCGCGCGGCTGTGACATCGGCAGCGTCAGGAACCCACGCAGCTTTATGTAGACGGGCTATTTGTGGCTGGCGGGGGTGTGGAGGTGACGCTCCAGGT